CTCTCTGGACAGAAAACCATTTCCTTCCTGGGATGCGGAGTGCAAAGTTTTTTCTTTCTGACAATGGCATGTTCTGAAGGTTTGCTGCTGGCATCCATGGCCTATGACCGTTACTTGGCCATCTGCCACCCTCTCCACTACCCTGTGCGCATGAGCAAGCAATTGTGTGTTAAGATGATCCTTGTTTCCTGGGTCCTGGGCTCTCTAAACTCCTTGGCACACACAGTCTATGCACTCCACATCCCTTATTGCAGGTCCAGGGCCATTGACCACTTCTTCTGTGATGTCCCAGCCATGTTGCCCCTGGCTTGCATGGACACCTGGGTCTATGAGTACATGGTCTTTGTGAGCACCAGCCTTTATCTCCTCTTCCCTTTCTTGGGCATCATGGCATCCTACGGCAAGGTTCTTTACTCCGTCTTCCACATGCGCTCCAAAGAGGGGAGGAAAAAGGCTTTCACCACCTGTTCTACCCATTTAACTGTGGTGACCTTTTATTATGCACCTTTTGTCTACACGTACCTTCGGCCCAGGAACCTGCGCTCCCCCAGCGAGGACAAGGCCCTGGCTGTCTTCTACACCATCCTCACCCCCATGCTCAACCCCATCATCTACAGCCTCAGGAACAAGGAGGTCCTGGGAGCCGTGACAAGGGTGTTTGGGGTATTCCCTTCCAGGAAGACATGACCCTGACTGCCCTATCCTCATCCTTGCTTCCCTATTCCATGTGATGAAGACACACTAGGCAATTTCACCCACATATAAATGTGCAACAGTCACATTCGTAATTACACATTCTAGAATGTTCATGTGCATGTAAAAATCTGGGAAACAGCTTGCTTTCTTGAATTTCTAGAGTGGAATACCATTGGCATCACAATTTAAATATATATTTAGTTAAGTAGATCACAATCTAATATCATAGTACGGGAGGGGGGCCTTGAGTCTGTTATGGACCCAGGTGTAACTGATGAGTGAGTGTATATCTAAGGCTTCAACTGAATGTGAACAGAGCCTATATTGTGGGTCTTACATTATTGTCTGCTATGTGCTGGAATGTGGAGTGAGTTAGTTTTGTTTGACAAGACAGTTTCTTGCACTTGTGGAAGGGAAGTCGATAACCCATAGTAAGACTGTTGTAGCTTGGTCTAGAGGAGTTCCCAGAAAGTGCTCAGTCACAACCCACACCACATGAGATACAAAAACAAAATAACTAAAAAGAAAAGATTACATGTGATTTGAAGCAGGCTTTGTGGGCCATCCTGCAGAAGGATCACACCACCAGTGCCTGGGTCTGTCCTGATGTCTGTGGACCACAATGCTTGCCTCCCAGGGTGCATAGCAGTGAGCTAGCCCCCACATGCAGGCAGGACACACACACAAACACTCCCACTGTGATGCAGGCTTCCAACCATGTTGCCACAGCTATTCTGGGCGCTGCCCCATCTTTTATTTTTCACTATTAGTGTTACCTCATGTGCTGTGCGGTGTGACTGGCCATTTGCTGTGAAGACTTCCAGACTAAGCTGGAACTGTCTGATTGTAGGTCTGTGGTCTTCCCTTCGACAAGTGCAAGAAAGTGTCTTGTCAAACAAAACTTAACTTATTGTAACTCACTAATTCCCTCCAGAACTCCAGCACACAGCAGGCAGGAAATGACCACAACGCCAGTTGTACTCTCATTCACCGCAGGCTTGGACATACACCACTCACACATCAGGTACCCTGGGTCCCCAACAGATTCGGTGCTTGAGTTCAACAGTTCAGGCCCGAGCTGATCTCCACCTCCACATAGAATCCAATGAATGACCAAGGCATAGGTCTCCGTGGAGTGGGACACTGGGGATCAATTAGAAGGGAGAGAGGAGTGTCTAGAGGTGAGGCGATGGGGCTCTGCACTCAAAATACAGCAGCCCACGCCTCAGACTCCACAGCAGAGCCCGAGGCAGCTGAGGGTGACTGCCCCGCTTTCACAGGACAAGCTGATGCAGATTTGTGCCAGCTCTCCGCATGCACAGAAGAGAAAGATCTCACAGGAAGTACAAAGGTATTTCTGCTTTGAATAGGAGAGAAAGCTTGGTGGTGAGCACAGTAAGGAAGTGATCCAATGACTTCTTCTAGGAACACACTCGTAAACGCACCCACCAAATCCAGGGCTGTAGCAGAACTTTGATGGTGACAGAAGGGCTCCCGTGCTCCCTGCCTTGGTGCGATGCTGGGAGAAATCCGTGGTGTGGAAACATTTTAAATAACTTGCTGTGCTGTCAGCAGGAAGTGTGCCACACTCAAGCTGCTTCCTCTGCCAGCTCATCCACTCAGGACCTGCAGAGAAGGTGAGTGCCAGCAACATCACTGATTCTGCAGGTGGAGGTGGACATCAACAAGTGCGTTACGTCTTCCTCTACTGAGGACACCCTCTGTGGTTCAGACATCAAGCAATTCTACAAGCAGGAGAAACACAGAGTGACACTAAAATGTAGAAAGGGAGTCTGTACCCACTGTCCCGTGGTGGGACTGAGTCCCTCTGCAGAGTCAAGAGGCCTCACCCATGGTTAAGATGGGGAAGGGACAAGCAGGGTGACACGTGGGGGTCCAGCCATGTGTGAGTGTGCCAACCTCACTCAGCACTGTCCTGAGGTGCTGCTGCACGTGGCAGAGGCTCAGGCAACTTGCCCATATTCCTGAGCTCACGGGAGCAGCTTTTCAGAGTGTGGATAAACTTTCAGTTCCATACAATAAATCAGGATTCTGCATGTGCTGTGCTCATGTGTAGTGCTCCTGATTTCTTCTGCATTCTTTCACTCTTAACTCCTTATAAGATTCAGCAATATGCCTTCAGAATGACTAGGACAGTTATGAATTTCAGAACCATTCCATAGCTATAGGAGCTATGTTCTCCAGGTGTAACAGAACAGGTGTGGTGTTTCGTGGGCGAACAGAGCATCATTCAGGTCCCTTCCTGCCTAAGAAGGTGCTTGACATCAGTGGAAGCAGACCCTGAGCTCAGCTCCAGGGCCCTGTGTTAGAGCTGGTACTCTATGGTCTAGGGAGCTCTGAGTAGGAACAGTCTCTACTGCTGTCAGGCATCAGCTGTGTTTTGGTCAGGAAAACCAGAAAGTGGGTTGCTCACAACCCTCAGACCATCGCTTTGATGCACTGAGCTCAAACTATACCTCCGATGCCAAACATGCAAACCTGGGCTCCCCTCAAATCAGGAAGCCTGTGGAAATCCTCAACTCACAGGCCACGATGTTCGGGGACACTGTTGGACGCACGTGCAGGAGCCTAACTAAAGCCTTTCTTCCCTTCATTCTAATCCCAGATCAAACAAAGTGATGCAGAAAAATAGCCAGAGGCAATTCCACACTTATCTCACTGATTCTGTTTGTGTGTGTGTGTGTGAGAGGAAATACGGTTGAAGATGTTTCACTTCACAAGTGTGAACAGACGTAAGATCTTAGTTTTAAGAAAAGCTCTGATTCAATAGGACAAGAACAAGTGACAATAAACAGTTGTGCATCCCCATGCAGGCCGTGATGGTCACCGCCCGTGCCCCAGGAGTTGGTGAGCTGATGTGGGGTGTGGCAGAGCAAGCAAACACCCTTGGCACTGGGATCTGCCCTATAGAGTCATTGCTCATGCACATCTGACTGAGGTCCTTATCTCACAAGCAGTTGTAACGTCCCACAAACATTTCATCTGGAAACTCTTGTTCACCATTTCAGCCACACTTAGCAAACACACTGAAAGGACCAGCTGAGAGGCAGCTATTGAAAGTGAATAATCACAGCTTGCTCTCCTTTGCTGGTTTCCACAATGGCACAATTCTGAGTGTCACCCAGGTCCATGTCCTTGACACAGTGCTGCTCAGGTAAGCAGCTGCTCGGAGACAGAGGACAGGGACAGACATATGGTAAACAGAAATGGAATCCAGTTCAGGAGGGAGAGGCAAGGAAGCATACCGTCACCGCAGCCCCACGCTATGACCCAGGATAACCACATGTCCGTGCAGCCCTATTGTAGTAACTTAATGCGAATTCATTGCCTGCTCTGGGCACTGAGAGACATTTCCTGAACAACCGGGAAGGCTGAAGCTCTGCTTAGCAGAGGTTTGAAGCAGCCACATGGATAAGACCATGACGATGTGAGGTTTGCATTCAGTGCAGCAACAGGACATTGGTTAGGAGCCTTGCCTCATGGGTGTGGGTGTTTCAGCTCTAGTCTGGTTTCTGCCTCTACTTGTGGCTTCCTGACATGCACTGGGAGTCAGCAGATGGCGCTCCACATCATTGAGAGCACTCAAATCAAGTGTGAGATCTGGACAAGCTCTGAGTCGTAAAGGATTGTGAGTTTGACCATAAAGCAGTGAGGGTGGGCATCTCCCTGCAGGGGAGACCATGGAGAGTGTCCTTGGTTTGGTGCCTGCCTGAGAGGAGTACAAGGGACTCAACTGTAGGAGACGGTAAGTCAAGGGTGAGCCTGGAGTTCACAACTAGAGCAAATCTCACAGTCACACATGGCAGTTTCTATTGTTACTGAATTAAACAAAGACATTGGGGAGTGCAGGGAGCCCTGCCTTAGCCAGTACCCCTGAGTGGGGATAGCATGGGTGGATGGGATGTGGCCAGAGAATGCTCAGGAGGATGCCCTGTCTGTTTCTCCTTGCAGCCTGTGGAGCTGCACCTCCTGGACTCCACAGTGATGGAAATGTCATGACACGGGTTTTGGGAAATGCATGTTAGGCAGAACTCTGTGTGAAGAACACCAACTGCCACAAAACAACTCATCATTCAGCAGTGCATTGCTGACATAGTGAATTCCTCACCAGAGGGGATGAGGAGAGGGCCCTGGGTTCTGATGCTGTGGACGAGCTGCAAGGCAGCTGAATCTCCATCCTAAACAACTCTAAGTCAAAGTTCTGTCTTGCAGGTGTCTCCTCCCACATGCTGGGCTCCTCACTGCTTCTTCCTCTTGCCAGGACCCTGAGGCACTAAGAGCTCATGGAGAAATGGAACCACACTTCCAGTGATTTCATTTTGTTGGGGCTCTTCCCCCAAAACCCAACAGGAATCCTGCTCTTGTCGCTCATCATCTTTGTGTTTGCTATTGCAACATCTGGTAACCTAATTATGATCCACCTCATCCGCGTGGACGCCCGGCTGCACACACCCATGTACATCCTGCTCAGCCAGCTCTCCCTCATGGACCTCATGTACATCTCCACCACTGTGCCCAAGATGACCTTCAACTTCCTCTCTGGACAGAAAACCATTTCCTTCCTGGGATGCGGAGTGCAAAGTTTTTTCTTTCTGACAATGGCATGTTCTGAAGGTTTGCTGCTGGCATCCATGGCCTATGACCGTTACTTGGCCATCTGCCACCCTCTCCACTACCCTGTGCGCATGAGCAAGCAATTGTGTGTTAAGATGATCCTTGCCACTTGGGTCATAGGCACAGTTAATTCAATTCCACATGCAGCCTATGTTCTCCACATCCCTTATTGCAGGTCCAGGGCCATTGACCACTTCTTCTGTGACATCCCAGCCATGTTGTCCGTTGCCTGTATGGACACTGGGTTCTATGAGTACACAGTCTTCATGAGCACCAGCTTTTTCCTCCTCGTCCCTCTCGTGGGTATCATAGCATCCTATGGCAAGGTTCTGTATGCCATTTTCCACATGCGCTCCAAAGAGGGGAGGAAAAAGGCTTTCACCACCTGTTCAACTCATTTAACTGTGGTAACTTTCTACTACATTCCATTTGCCTGCACCTATCTTCGGCCCAGGAACCTGCGCTCCCCCAGCGAGGACAAGGCCCTGGCTGTCTTCTACACCATCCTCACCCCCATGCTCAACCCCATCATCTACAGCCTCAGGAACAAGGAGGTCCTGGGAGCCGTGACAAGGGTGTTTGGGGTATTCCCTTCCAGGAAGACACGACCCTGACTGCCCTATCCTCATCCTTGCTTCCCCATCCTTTGTGATGGCCACACTACTGTTCCTCTTAGAACAATAACACTAGTCACAGTCACAATTTACACATTCTAGAATGTTCACATGCATGCAATGACCCTTAGAAGCAGCTTTCCATCTCCAAGTTCTCCGTCATGTACCATTGGCATCCATATTTCCAATAATAATTTAATTGAATGAAGTTGGTTCATATCCACTGAATAACTATGTGATTGGATGCTTTGGGAACATCTTAGAAGGCATGCCTTGTACAGAACAGTTGCCCATTCGGGGCTGAGCCTCACAGATTGATACTTCCTTGTTGGGGTGTATCCCAGTAGTGCCCAGCAGCACATACAGTGCATGGGAACCCCTCCCAGGACAATCTGACTTGGTGTCACGAGCAGCATGGGAATTGTCTCCAGTGGGAGCTGGAGTGTGATTTGGGTGGGGCATCACGGGTAGATTGGATGCACTGATCACCAAGTGAGCTTGGCAGCTGCCTCTCCTGGTAGACTCGGGTGCCTTTGAGCAGCTGACCACCAAGCCCCCTGGTTCTCTGAAAGCAAGACTGATGTCTGGATCTCTTCTGCACTGTACTGCCGTGTCCAAGGGTGCATTGGTGGGCAGTTGGATCAGATGTGTCAGCAGAACGTACCTAGGCACTATTATTTTAACTGATATGTCAATCATATCTCAGTTTTTAAAGTTTTGTTTGTTTAAATATTTAAAAGTATTTTTTCAAGTTTTAAAAAAAAAGGTTTCAATTGTGTTTCATTGTCTGGTGGGTCTTCATCCATTTGACTTAATGCAATCGAGTGTGGTACCCATGATATGGCAACATTGTGCTTCAAGAAGCAGCAGTGTGACGAGACCTCGTCTGTGAAGTCAGCTCTGGACCGGCCTTCCCAGAGCCCTGCTGTCGCCTGTGGTGCAGCCATTCATCACGTTTGGGTTGCCGGTCACTGTTCCCACACTACAGCTTGAACCAGCTCACAAAGGACACGGGCAGGATGCTCATCCCCATCTCCTAGTCTGCTATGCTCCCACCACTGCATGCAAGCCAGACTCCTCCACTATGTGAGAAGCTGACTCTAGCTCCCAACCCTTCGCCTTAGCCACCCCCATTCGTCCCTTAGCTGTTGAGGGGATTTGTAGAATAGGAGTCGGGACCTCTTTGCCTGCTCATTTCCAAGAGAGACAATTAAAATTGAAAATTACCTTCTGAACAAGAAGGCGCTTCACATCATGTTCTATGTGCTCCGCTTACTTAATGAGGAAGAGAAAATACTCGTTGAGGATACAGCAGCGACGGTGTGAAGCCGCTGGCAGCATGCGACTGTTTCTGTGGTGTGGAAGAAAGCATTAACGCAGTGCTGGTTTTATATTCAGATGAATCCATGCTTGCATGAAACACATTTCTGTAAAGTTAGAATTTTTGAGAAAATCTCCTCTTGAGCATTATCATCCACAAGTGTACCAAGATACTTATTGTAAAATAACTGATCAAGAATTTCCCCAGTGTTTCTAAGTCTGAACCAGTCCTGAAGGCCTGTGTCACAAAAACCAATGGATTTTTCTCAAAGCAAAAATGTATTGAAATTAAAGAAGGTTGACTCTGTGGCAAGTCTGCCTGACAGCACTTAAATTATGTCAAATGCAGACACAGTTGCTGAAAGTCTGACTTTTTGAAAGATTTATTATAGAGGAAGAGGAATGGCCGGAGGGAATACTCTGCCATCTGCTGATTCACCACCAAATGGTGGCAGAGCCAGGGCTGGGCAAGGCTGGTGCTGGGAAGGGGAACACCACTTGCATCTTCCAGAGGGTTGTAGGAGCCCATACCTGGGTCACCTTCTCCTATTTTCTCAGGTCAGAAACAGATTAGCTGGAATGAGAACCAGCACCCCAACCTGCGTGAGAGACCGATGTCCCAGGTGGGAACCTCAATAACAGACCTAGAAGTACAAACACTCCTAACCAATTCCTCTCGACAAAGTGAACCATGCAAATGTCAGTGAAAACATTGTATGGGGGCCCAGTGCGATAGTGTAATGGTTGAGGTCCTTGCCTTGAACGTGCCGGGAAACCATATGAGCGCCACTTCCCATCCAGCTCCCTGCTTGTGGCCTGGGAAAGCAGTCGAGGATGGCCCAAAGTCTTGGGACCCTGCCCCCGCATGGGAGACCCGGAAAGAAGTTCCTGATTCCTGGCTTCAGATCAGTGCAGCACCAGCCGTTGCGGTCACTTGGGAAGTGAACCATCAGAGGGACGATTTTCCTTTCTGTCTCTCCTCTCTATACATCTGTCTTTACAATAAAATAAATCTTTTAAAAAATATTGTATGAAAAATCATTCATATTTATTACATTTTAGACTTAAAAGTTGTAACAGAACATTTGATGATATGTAACTTTGGGTTTTGGTGAAGGGTTGGTGGATCTGCCCTGTGACTCAGAGCCCATGACCTTGTCTATGTGCCACACTTCCGCCCTGGCCCTTCTGGACAGTGACAAGGTCCCAGTTGCGGAGTCCACTGAGTCATGCTGTCATCAGGTGGAATGAGGCAGCTGTGCATGGCTCCCAACCCCATGCTCTCTCATTGGTGTCAGGGAGCTGCACATGCAGGGAAGCTAAAATCAACACACAGCCACTGATCTGCCCCATGATCTCAGTGGGAGGGTGAGGTGTACCGAGAGGAGAAAACTACATCTGAAAGATAGTGGTCGTGTAGGACAGAGTATACGATTCAAGGAAGGATGGGAGAGTGACCTTTGGACTCTAACCTCCAGTCAGGGTGAACCCTTGCGCTGACTTCCCACCAACCTGGTCTCCACCAGTAACTGGCAGGACTCATGGTGTCTTAGGGTACACCCATGCTAGTGCCAACAGGTCCACCTGATATTAAAGCACTGGATCTACTTGTCTGCAAGGGCAGAACTCATCCTGTGCAGCCAGGAGGGGTAGAGGACTTCAGAACCATGGACGGTCACCTCTAGAAGGCTGCCAGAAGGACATCCTGTGCTCAAAACACGACAGGTCCAGCAAAGCTCAGGGAAGCGAAACAGCACATGTAAGTGTTACAACTAGGGTTAGTGATTCAAGAAACAGGTATTAATCTGCCTTAAATGAACCAAAAATCGGGGGGCGGGGGGCAATTATTCCTTCTATTCTAGACATGACATGATGTTTCTTCAAAAAGTATACATTGCTACAAGTCTGGGAACAGAAACTGGTCTACACTTTCACAGAGTGGATTCTCTGAGTCAGCCTTCTCACGGCTCCCAGGACCTCCTTGTTCCTGAGGCTGTAGATGATGGGGTTGAGCATGGGGGTGAGGATGGTGTAGAAGACAGCCAGGGCCTTGTCCTCGGTGGGGGAGCGAAAGGACTTTGGGCGCAGGTAGGTGTAAGCAAAGGGTGCGTAGAAGAAGGTTACCACGGTGAGGTGGCTGCTGCAGGTGGAGTAGGCCTTCTTCCTCCCTTCCCCCGAGTGCATGCGAGAGACCGCGAGCAGTACCCGGCCATAGGAGCACACAATGACCAGGAAAGGAAGTACCAGGAAAATGACGGTGCTCAGAAACACAGTGTACTCATAGACCCAGGTGTCCATGCAGGCCAGGGTCAGCATGGCTGGGACATCGCAGAAGAAATGGTTGATGGCTCTGGACCGGCAGTACGGGATGTGGAATGCATAGGCAGTGTGAGCACAGGAGTTGGTGCAGCCCATTACCCAGGACACAGTCACCATCAGCACACACACTCGCCTGTTCATGCGCACATGATAGTGGAGAGGGTGACAAATGGCCACGTAGCGGTCATAGGCCATGGAGGTCAGGAGCATTGTCTCTGCACCTCCTAAAGCCAAGAAGAAGAAGCTCTGAACCCCACAGCCAAGGCAGGAGATGGCCTTGTTCCCGAGCAGGAAATCCGAGGCCATCCTGGGGACGATGGTGGAGATGTAGCTGAGGTCGATGAGGGAGAGCTGACTGAGCAGGAGGTACATGGGTGTGTGGAGCTGAGAGTCCAGGAGGATAAGCAGAGCCATGCACAGGTTGCCCAGCAGAGCGATGAGGAAAATGAGACCCAACAGGAGGAAGAGGAGCAGGCCCAGCCGTGCGCGGGGGAACAAGCCCAGTAAGATGAAATCAGTGCACGTCTGGTTTGATGGTTCCATGCAGTGTTCCTGTGTGTTCTCCTAGAAGTAGAGTCGTGAGTTATATGTAAAGCCTTGTCTACTATAGCTCACTGTTTGATTTGTGTTTTATTAACACAAAGAATGAAGTATTTTGAAACAGGATTCCAGTTTTCTGCCTCATGAGCAAGCATTCGGGCGGTAAGCAAGCATGACCCCTGAGGTCCACAGTGCCTGCAACGTGTTTCCATAATGACCTCACTTGGATATGGATATTTTATTTTCATTCAAATTGATGTTCTATCAATCTGTGCCTTACAAGTGTATACACACAGAAATCAATTTGAATGGATCTATCATTGACTCAAATCTGAATATATTTTTATAACCTCTTAGAGTGTTCTTTCTTCCATATTTTAACCACAAGGCTTACCTGCAAACACCTGTCATTCAGGTTGGAAAACCAAACTCAGCCTTGGCTGATCCTGGCACTGCTACTTACTCCCTTTTCCCATTTTGATTTCTTATATTTAAAATCATTTTCATTGCAAATGCATATGGGGATTTAGCATATGTAATTATCACTTTTCCTTCTCAAATCCACCCTCAGTGGTAATAAAGAAATATCTGCTGTTAAAGCAGAGTGTGGGGAAGCAAGCAGAGGGCAATCAGGGCAAGCTGTCAGGGATTGGAAAGGGCGTCCAGACTGCCCTGTAACTGTCAGCAGTGGGAGGGTTCCTCTGGCAGGAACACCGTGAAGGACAGCGCTGGGCCTGCGGTACCCACAAGGAAACTGGGCACCAAGACCTGCAGACTTGGAGCAAATGTACAGATTCATGCACACTTGTAAGTATATGGAAACATGCCCACACACGCAAACATGCAAACACATGCAGACACTCACAGAGACATACATGCCCAAAGGTAGACATGTGCATACAGAGACACACATGCTCATGGAGACACCTGTGTGTACATGCAGAAACATGTAAACACACATGAACACAGGGAGACACATGCAGACACTCACAGAGACACACATGCCAAAGGTAGACACGTGCATACAGAGACACACATGCACATGGAGACACCTGTGTGTACATGCAGAAACATGTAAACACACATGTAACAGGGAGGCACATGCAGACACTCACAGAGACACACATGCACTAGGTAGAAATGTGCATACACATGTGCATGGAGACACACGTGTGCATACACAGACACACGTTTGTATGTGTTTGCACATGTACACACAGGGACACGCATGCACACGCAGACACATGCAGACACACACTGAGACTCATGCACACACACAGACAGACACATCTAGAAACATGCAAACACACACACCTGTGGAATGAGTTAGAAATTATTGGGAAAAGTTTTATGAAAACGTTGATATCTTCAGAGTGTAAACATTTGTTGGAATCACAGCATGGTATGTTGTGCTATGGAAAGGAAAGACAGCAAGAAAGATTGGTTAAGATGATCATAAAGGATGCAAAAAATTCAATAAAAATTTCAAAGGCAGGTTAGGTCAAATCTCTGAGAAAGCAAAGGAAATGGCTATATAACAAGAGTGTGAAGTGTAGAGAAGATCCGGAATTAGGGAACTGCACATTCTCTCGTGCAGCCCAGCTATTGCATGCGACAGAGGAGACGCACTGCTCCCCAGCAGGGAGGCACCCAGGCTAAGCTCTGCCGACATCTCTCAGGGTGCTGGTGTTAGTCCTGGCAATAATGAAGTCACTGGGAATCAGGCCACTGCAGTGCACTCATGGCAGAAACACCTACAAGAATCCTAGTGGGAAATGGGCTCCTCCAGGCTCCACCAACACTGCTCAGGGTCTTTGCTCCCTCCGTCAGACTTCACAGGGATGGGGCTCAAGGCCACCTTAGAACCTCACTGCTCTTCTAACCAGAGAGCATGCGTACCCACACCTCAGCTCCCAGACCACACCCTACTGTGAAGGAACGTCCTACCTAACCGCCTCTGATTTGCATCTGAATGCCCCAGCCCCACCACACAGGTTACACGCCTGTTCCTTGACACAGCTCGGCGTGAACGGCAGTAATTGCCAGCAGCCAGCAATCCACATTCAGCCACCCGCTCCTGTGAGATGTGGAGACGGCCCACTCCCCCAGCCTGTGAGATGGTACCACTGCCTCAGCCCCAGCCTCTCTCACGTCCAGGTCTGTTACAGGTCCACACACAGGCCTCTCAAACCTGGTTCTTCCTACAACTGCATTGGTTTATTCAAGGCCAAATGTGTTCCTTCAAAATCTGAAATATCATTTGAATTCGCAAATTTTCTAGTGTATATATATATATATCATTCTTTACTATTATGTGTAAATTGACCATATTTTCAAGAATGTACTTAATTTGATGTGGACATTAGTCTTATTCACTGTAAAACTAGTCAAAAAAAAAAAAAAGTCAACCATGGGCTGTATTTCCCATTTCTCACCTCACACTAGGCATTTGCAATCACAGATATTCTTGGAAGACTTGTCTCATAATATAAACTTAAGGTTTAAAACTAGTCCTGTTTCTTTAAAGCATGGAACTATTTAAGCAATCCATTCTCGTTTTATTAACTTGGGTGGAAAAGGTATGTACTGGTTCGTCTACCTACTTCTCTTTTATATCTACTGTAGTCAAATAAAACTTTCTAAATTCTCTGGTTAAAATAATTGCTAATTATGGTAATTTATAAAGGCTTATTTATGACTTGCGTATACTAGAACGTTATGTAAATATAAATATAAATAATTAATCAATTCTAATAAATGCTCTCTTAGGCACTTTGAAGAAATCCCAGCTTTGATGTGATAAGTGAAGTAAATCCAGCATTTCCCCTTTACATGCCAGCACTTGCACAAACCCACTGGAATGGGTTGTTGATGTCATCCCACGATCCTGTGGATACAGTCATTTTTTTCTGGCTAAATATTTTTTTTCAACCCAATGTACTTACTCATCTCTCATGCCCGTGCTTGGCATTTTAGTTCCTCCATGAAGACTGAGCACCAACTGTGAGTGCAGGCAAGCTTGATGTGGAGATGAGTGTGTGTGTGTGTGTTCGCACAGACACATCCACTGAGACTTGAGCAGCATGAGCCAATTCACTAATAGCACAGGCTGGCCTTGGGCCAAGGTCGGACGGTGAGCTCTGCTAATTCCCTTAAATGTGAGCTAGGTACACCAATTGTCAGTTCAATGGAGAAACCCATGTACGATGTATTCAGCCTTCCAACATCATTATATCTCAGTTTTGTGGCGTCATGTATTATATTTTCACTCACTGCATACATGCAAGAATGTTTCCACATACATTAATGTAATTTTGGGTCTTTTTGGCTAACCAGTTTACATTAAATCTAATGACAACTTTACATAAACATATTCATAGACATTCTTACAATTTTTAAGCTGGGAAATAATTTTTAATTTGCTACAGGTACTATTCTCAATTATTATAAAAATGATTAATAAGGGCCCAGTTCAGTAGCTTAGTGGCTAAGTCCTTGCCTTGCACCTGCTGGGATCCCATATGGGTGCCATTTCTAATCCTTGTGGCCCCACTTCTCATCCAGCTCACTGCTTGTGGCCTAGGAAAGCTGTAGAGGACGGCCCAAAAGCCTTGGGACCCTGCACCCGCGTGGGAGACCTGAAAGAAGTTCCTGGCTCCTGGCTTCGGATCAGCATAGCATCGACCGTTGTGCTCACTTGGGGAGTGAATCATCGGACGGAAGATCTCCCTCTCTGTCTCTCCTCTCTGTATATCTGCCTTTCCAATAAAAATAAATCGTAAAAAATTTACCAATAATTTTTTCTTTCATATATATGCTCTTTTCCCTTTATTTTTGACAATCTTTACATGGTTAATTAGGGCACACAGGGTCAAGGGCTACAGGAAAGTGGGCAAGACCATTATTTCCACATTCTCTTTTTTTGTATCTGGGGTAAAGGGAGAGACTAAGGGAGAAGCCCCACACAGCCTCCCACCCATCCCAGGTCCCCGATGTGGGGCATGTGCTGAGGGTCTTGCTCAACTTGTTTTGATAGTTCAACTGCTATGAATTGCTGCCAATCTCACCATGCCAAGCATGATGAAGTTGCTGCAGAATCCACTGATTGACACAGTCCACATTAGAGTCTCCTTAGAGTCTCCGTTTGCCCAGTTTTTCACTGCCAACACATGGCTGTGGTAGTTGATTGATTAGTTCTGTCCTCTGTTGGGTGTCCTCTGCAGGTTCCGATAGACTGTCATATCCTCCATGTGTACCTGGTTATGCTCTCCACTGCTCTGTCTGAGCTTCTTAGGAGGCTTGGATCTGGCACTTGCACTCCATGGCAGACCATGGAACGTGCACTTCTCTTCATGGTTAGGGTTCTGAGTCCAGCAGCTCAATTGGGGAGATCCCAAAAGAAACTTTGTCTGAGGTAATCCCAGACCAGATTCTTGTGTGTACCTGGCAAGTACAGGGCCCGGCACAGTCCATCACCCAATCAGGTAGTAGCTGCAATTGCTGGGTTGGTTCTGTTTTCAGCCCTGTCTTCCACTGGAACCAACAGGTGTTGCAGTCCAGCCTGATTCTGCCCAGCAGACACTCAGCCCTCATATAAACCAGTGGGAGTTGCAGCCTAGTCGGAGCAATCCACAATAGACTAATAAACTATTAAATGAGTTTTTTTTTTAATTTCAGAATAATACAAGGATACCATTACTCACATCTGGAGACAAATGGTGAGATTACCAAGGATCAGTGGCAGGGAATACTCTGAGGCCTCAGAAGGGAACAGTTCTACCACATGCTGCAGCAAGGATGAACCTGGAAGTATTGTCATACGTGAAATAAGTCACCATGAGTGAGCTCCACCTGAGTGAGGATCCCAGAGAGGTGAGTCACATAGAGGGTTGGGCAGGCTGAGGCCAGGGGTGTGGGCAGCTCACTGACCACAGGGGGGGCAGGCTGAGGCCGGGGGTGTGGGCAGCTCACTGACCACAGGGGGGGCAGGCTGAGGCCGGGGGTGTGGGCAATTCACAGACCACAGGGTTGGGCAGGCTGAGGCCGGGGGTGTGGGCAGCTCACTGACCACAGGGGGTCAGGCTGAGGCCGGGGGTGTGGGCAGCTCACTGACCACAGGGGGTCAGGCTGAGGCCGGGGGTGTGGGCAATTCACAGACCACAGGGTTGGGCAGGCTGAGGCCGGGGGTGTGGGCAGCTCACTGACCACAGGGGGGGCAGGCTGAGGCCGGGGGTGTGGGCAGCTCACTGACCACAGGGGGGCAGGCTGAGGCCGGGGATGTGGGCAGCTCACTGACCACAGGGTGAAGGACTGAGCTTGGGTAAGGACCGTCCTGGGAGCGTGTGGTACTGACGGACACGCAATGCTAGCTTTCACTTAATGTCGCTGACGAGTGCAGTAACTGTAACTGCAGCATAAATTTCATGTGAAACATTTCACCACAATAAAAAAAAAGAAAATTTAAAAAATTAAACTATACCAATGGAGACATCTCCAGGAAAAAACACATTAATTCAAACATTGGAAGCCATGGGGAAATATTTAAGATCGTTCAAGGTACTGCTTGCGGTAAAAATACAATTAAGGAAATAAAACTTCAGTGATGTGCAATTACTAAGACACTGCACAACCTAGTTCCTATCAGGGTTCGGAAGCAGCTTTCTCGCACATGTGGAGAGTTCGAAGCTTTCGTTCGCTACTGAGGAGAAACCAACAGGCTTGAGGAGAACCTGGGGGGACCAGAGTTCACGTCTCACGAGGAGAGCGACCTTTCAGCAGGGTTTGCACAGCCGCCAGAACGTCCTTGTTCCTGAAGCTGTAGACGAGCGGGTTGAGTGCCGGGGTGAGGACGGTGTAGAAGACGGCCAGAGCCTTGTCCTGGCCGGGAGAGTGGAAGGGTTTAGGCCGCATGTAGGTGAAGATGAAGGGCCCGTAGTACATCACCACCACCAGCATGTGGAAGGAGCAGGTGGAGAAGGCCTTCCTGCGCGCCTCCGCCGACCTCATGGCGAGCACCGTGAGCAGAACGCGACCGTAAGACGCTGAGATGACGGCGAAGGGGACGAGCAAGAAGATGATGCCGCTCACATAGACGCCTCGTTCGTAGCGCGCCGTGTCCACACAGGACAGCTTCAGCATGGTGGGGACCTCGCAGAAGAAGTGGTCGATGGCCCTGGAGCAGAAGGGGAAGCGGAGCACGCAGGCCGTGTGAACCGTGGAGTTGAGGGTCCCCACGAGCCAGGCGCCCGCCGCCATGAGAAGGGCAGTCCTGTGGTTCATGAGTGCCGGGTAGCGCAGTGGGTGGCAGATGGCCACATAGCGGTCACAGGACATGGCGGCCAGCAGCAGGCACTCGCCGCCCAGAAGGATGAGAGACAGGAAGACCTGGACCCCACAGCCTGCAAAGGAGATGGCCCCGCTGCCGGTCACGAAGTCGGCGACCATCTTGGGGACGATGTTGGAGCTGTGCAGAATGTCCATACCGGACAGGTGGCTGAGCAGGAAGTACATGGGGGTGTGGAGCCGCGGATCCCTGCAAATGAGCAGGATCATGAACGCATTTTCTGTCACCGTCAGGACAAAGAGGAGGACCAGGACCGGGAGCAAGGCCCTGCGTGCCTGGGCAGATGAGAAGAGCCCCAGCAACATGAAGCCGCTGTCCACTGTGAGGTTCTCAGGGACCCGCATGGAGGCCGTGGCAACCCTAAAGGAAAAGGAACAAAGAAAGCCATGGAGAGTCGAAGCTGGGCCTGAGCTGGGCGCCTGCCACATGGGAGCCATGCAAGGTCCGAGCTGGGCCCACCGTACAGGAGATGTGCAAGGTCTGAGCAGGGCCTGAGCTGGTCCCTGCCACGTGGGAGCCATGCAAGATGGGAGCTGGGCCTGAGCTGGTCCCCTGCCACGTGGGAGCCGTGCAAGGTGGGAGCTGGGCCTGAGCTGGTCCCCTGCCGCAGAGAAGCCATGCAAGGTCCAAGTTGGGCCCACTGTACAGGAGCTGTGCAAGGTGGGAGCTGTGCCCAGGCCAGTCCCCTACCCCATGGGAGCCACACAAGTTTGGAGCTGTGCCCATGTCAGGCCCTGCCCATATCCTCACAGTCAGAAGGAGGCAGAGCTCGCGTGTGCTCACTCCCTTTCCCTTCAAAAATAAGTAAGTAAATGTTCCATAAACACACACTACGAATTCATTAGGTTAGGCTAAATCAGACTAAAATAATGTCTTCGTTTTCTAGCCATGGCGTAGTGGATTAAGGTCTCCACCTGCTCTGGTTCATGTCCTGGCTGCTCCACTTGAGGTTGGGTCCCTGTTGACGACCTGGGAAAGCAGCAGAGTTGGCCCAGTGCTTGGGCCCCTACACCCGTGTGAGAGACCAGCTGGAAGCTCCTGGCTCCTGGCTTCAGACCGTCTCAGCTCCAACCATTGCAGCTATTTGAGGAGTGAGCCAGTGGATGGAAAATCTGTCTCTGTTTCTCCTCTTTTTGTAACTTTTTCTTTCAAATTAAAATAAACAAATATTTAAGAAGTTACACAATACCTGTTTAAGCCAGACCTGCACAATCATGAATTGGTCGTTATTATCTGTCACGTCATGTCCCTACATTACATTTTTGAGTGAAAAAGGCAGCCAAAGACAAAACAGTAAAGCATTGAACAATGCCTGGCTGAGGAATACTTACTTAGGTAATAGTGCAATTGGAAATCCTGGGAATGTCATCTGTATGCCTTATTCTATGAGGACATTATTTTTTAAAAACTCTCTCACTAATGTTGATTTAGTGTTGTGTCTTTTCATTTAAGGGGACGTATAGTAACTGTGTAATGGAGGCTATCAGATCCAGATGTGAGGATACAATGCAGTATGCATCTCTACTTCCAGATCAAAGATGGATTCCCAGTAAAACTGTTAACTACCTTGACAATAAGATGCTGGACTCCCTGTCATTGTCCATGCCTGCAATGATGGACAAATGACTGCTTATGAAGAACTATAGTAATGATACAGGGGAACTCAGTGGGGGGGGAAGGGAACTTGGAGAGGCAGTAAGGAAAATCCCATGGCCTATGGAACTGTATCATAAAATTATAATAATAAAAAAGGAAAACTCCACCACTGAGAGATGAACAGCCCAATATTCAGAGTACGTTAGTTCCATCATTACCACACTTGCTATTTCACTCTTCTTTATATATGTATATAAAAACTGTTGTATCTCAGCTAGATGATATGAAAGAAAGAGGGAGAAAGAGGAGGTGAGGTTGGGAGCCTGTGAGGCAGGGCTGAGGGTGGGAGCTGGCAGGGCAGGGCTGAGGTGGGAGCTGGCAAGGCAGGGCTGAGGGTAGGAGCCCGTGGGCAGGGCTGAGGGTGGGAGCTGGCAGGGCAGGGCTGAGGTGGGAGCTGGCAAGGCAGGGCTGAGGGTAGGAGCCCGTGGGCAGGGCTGAGGGTGGGAGCCCGTGGGGCAGGGCTGAAGGCAGCGCAGGGCACCAGGCTCAGGTGTGTTGGGTGCTCGGGGTTCTGGCTGCCTTCAGTTGTCCTCAGGAAGCTCGAGGGCAGGGAGGCCTCAGGGGAGTGAGACTGCGGGGTCTTCTGTTCCCATCACAGACACACACACATAGCGATGTGCTCCAGGTGGCCAGCAGAGCTGTCCATAGAGGCCCTCTGCCCTGGCAGCTGGACATTTGCCCACTTTCACTCTTGCTTTTTCCCGGAGAAAGCCAGCAGAGCTGCCCCGCACTGCTGCTGCCATCACCACCAAGCCCTGCGATGACATCACCAGGGTCTCAGTCCATTCCCTCCCACGGCAATCGGTGCCATGTGCTGCTGACTGCTCCCTTCCTGTCTTCTCCCTGGTCCTCTCACAGGTATGGCCTTCGGCAGTATCCACTTGCCTCAGCGACTCCCACAGGCTGCCTTCTCCTTTGCCAGGTCGGGGGGCTGCTGGGGTGCCTGCGCAGGGTCCATCCTCTCCTCTGTCCCATAGCAGCACCTGGCCAGCCACAGGACTGCTTGCTCACAGCCAGGAGACACCCACAGACTGCCTGAGCTCTGGGGACAGGGCGGGGGAGGGCATTGCAGGCACTAGAATGGAGGACCAGCCATTGTCATCTCCCTGACCCCAGCAGCCACCCCCACCCTCCATACTCAACGCTCACATCCCACCTACAAGCCCAAGGCAACCTGAGTTTTGGCTTTTGAATCCCTGTTAAACAGGTCTCTCCTACTGATGGCCAAGCCCAGCTCACTCTGACTGCACATCCAATAGCCCCAAGCAGTGGTGGCCCTCGAAGTGGAGATATCTGGAAGCAAAGGCACCAGGGAACTGGGCCCCCAGGCAGGCATGTGCCATGGCAGGTTCACCTGTTCCCTCTCCCCCGTGAAAACAGGAAGGCCCTGGCATTGATCCCACAGGAACAAAGGCAATGGACTGCTGACCCTGCACTTGGCACTGCAACCAAATCCAACAGCAGGAGCCACTTCTGCTCGAGGTGAGCTGACGGGCTTCCAGTCAGAGAGGAGGCATTCACTAACACACAGTGGACAGCATGCCAGCCTCACCATCGGGAGCCGCAAACAATGGGCCTGGATGTCAGCCTCCTGGGTGTGTGGCTGTGCCCTCTCCAGCACTGCTCCCCATCCCGACACTGTCCTCCAGCAGCAGAGGGCACACTGCTGCTAGGGGACACAGCCTGCCTCTCTCCGCTCCCACCTGCCATGGAGTGTGTCCTTCATGCTTTCCAGAGTGGTCAGTCTCAGGAGCCATCCAGAGGTGGCCAACTTACCTGGCTGTGGCTTCAGACTGACAGTTGAGGTCTCCTGGGGTAGGGTAGGCTGGCCACCCATCAAACGCTGAACCATGGGCATCAGCAACAGGAACCTGAATGTGGCCAGCACCGGTCCACATCCTTGAATTCCAGAGCCGCCAACTACTCCCCAGTCAACTGAACCTGTGTGATCACAAGCCACACACCACAGAACAGCCTCCACCTGTCCCCAGAGCAGGGCCACAGCTCCAGGAGGAAACATCAAGGCCAAGGCTGATGAGTAAGGGGACAAGCAGGAGTCTTTCAGAGGCCAACCCAGGACTGTGTAAGGAGCTGACCCCGCCGTGCCTTATGAGGGGACCCCGGCATTGGGCCCAGCTTTGAATCCAACACTCTGCCTGGCCACCCCCAGTAGAAAATCCCAAGCCTCCCCCACTTCGTTCCCACTGTTTTCCCCTGAATTTTACCTCTAGCACCATCACTGCTCCCCGCAAAGGACCCAACATGACAAGGGGTTCTCGGGGCTCACAGGCCTGCCCTTCTCTGTGTCTCTCTCTCTCTCTCTCTCTCTCTCTCTCTCTCTCTCTCTCTCTCTCTCTGTGTGTGTTTCTCTCCCTCCCTCTCTCTATCAGCAGCTGAGCCTGCTCCTCTACCTTTGGGGCTTCACAAGGTCACCATGTTGGTCACTGACAAGCCCTGCTGATTACAGGTACACAGTAGCTCAACCGTCCATGACTGACTAAGACCCTGAGACTGCCCGGGCCATCTCCTCCCACCCCAATGGAACTCCCCCATATTGCAACCCACAGGCTCACCAGGGTGTCAGATCCTCCACCTCGGGTGCTGAGTCCTGGCTCATTCCCCTAAGACATGGGCCTCAGTGTCACTTCCATGAAGGTGTCTACAGGCCCAAGAAGCAGCCTCACTCAGGCTGGCTGGACCTGCAGGGCAGGGGGCAGATGTTGGAAGCAGCAAGAATACTTGGAAGATGCCGGCACTCCTCCTGCTCCTAAACTTGTGGTGTCAGGGAGCACAGAGGCAACCTCTGAAGGCCAGCATCAGCGGGAGCTAGCCAGGGGGACAGTGCAGGAAGTCTGTGTGTGGGAGGAAGGGCAACTGCTGCGGCTGACACAGCAGCCAGTCCCTGGGGGAACACGGCACCTCGTTGTCCCAAGGGACCCATAGAAACTGCCAGTGTCTATGTGGCTTGGACAGAGGGGGATCAGGAATCAGTGCTTGCTGGGGCCAAGGCCAGCAGGTAAAGCCACCTTTTGCAACACAGACATCCTAGTGAGCACAGGATCAAGCCCTGACTCATCCATCTCCAGCCCAGAGAGCAGAGGGCTATGTGTGCGTGTCTGTAATTCTGGCTTTCAAAGACATAAATCTCATTTTCAAAAAGATTTTATTTTCAGCTGAAAGGCAGGGATACAAACAGAAGAGAGAGAAAGATCTTCCATCCATTGTTTCACTCTCCAAATTGCCACAACACCTGGAACTGAGCTGATCCAAAGCCAAGAACCAGGAGCTTCTGAGTCTCCCACACGGGTGCAGGGTCCCAAGGCTTTGGGCCATCCTCCACTGCTTTCCCAGGCCACAAGTGGGAGCTGGATTGGAAGTGAAGCAGCCGGGAGATGGACTGGCACCCATATGGGATGCCAGCATCAGTCTCAGCTGTCATGCATGGCACCAGCCCCCCAAATAAATAAATCTTAAAAACATTAATAATTTGTATTGAAGGACTGGCACGATGGCAGGCTAACCTCTGCCCACAGCGCCTGCATCCGGAGATGGGAGCTTGTTTCTGGGGTGCATCCTCCAAGCCTCCTTCCCTCTCCAGTTGTGGGATGCAGGAACCTGCAGAGCTAGCCCTGGCCTGTGCCTCCATGTGGGGGAAAGCAAAGTGACTAAAATGGTACCCAAGAAAAGCTGTGAGACAGGACTGCATGTGACAGCAGCGGTAACAGAAGGAAAGACACAAAGAAGCAAAAACTAGAAAGGTTTTCTGAACAAGTTGTACTGAATCGCATCATTTTAGAGAACATATAAGTACTATTTATAAATATATTCCCTAGAAAACAGAATTTATTTCTCTCAAAATGCCAAATATTTTGCCTGAAAATTATTGTAGACTTAAAACAATTTGCCCACAAAGGGTAAGAAATACTCTGAGCATCTGAAATTTATTTTTTTCAATTGTTCTTGCCCTTCCTCACCTGCCTCTCATATTTACAATGATGCTTCTTCTCGATGGATCTCTTAACATTTTGTTACACATCATAACTAAAAGGAACAGATTCAGTTTCTGGAAAAATGGGGAAAGCAGAAATGTTGTAGTACATAGCTGTATATTTTATTAACATGTAATTTTCAGAAGTTGAATATTCGGGTAAAAAATTTAACTTCTCAACATGGTTTAATAATCTGAATTTTTCACACATCGTTTCTACTGTGAAGCATGTCTATGCTTTCTTTGATTTTCACTTTCCAGAGACTAAAATGATATTAACCAAAGTAGATACATGATATGGCAATAACCTAAGTGCAGTCTTCAACATGATCAGTATTCCGAGACACCTGGAGGCAGAGGCAGCCACCCCCCGCACACGCGGGAGGGCTGAGATGACAAGCCTGCTGGTGTTGGTGCAGCTGGCCCTTGGGAACTGCTTTGTCCCACTTTGACAAGACTGCCCATCACCCCCTAGTAAGGGAGGAAGCAACACAACTCGAGGAAGCAGCTGTAGTCTGCAGACCCGAACAGGCAGATGGCACCTGCTAGCCATAGGGCAAGCTAGGACTGGGAGCCCAGCTCCTGGTCCAGGACTCAGCAGAAATTCAGGAATAAACCAGCATGTCTCTGCCAAGTTCCTCTGGCTGTCTCTTTATCTCTCTCTCTCTCTCAAATAATTAATTCAAAATATTGAAAACATGCCCCAGCTGTGGGCAATGACCTGGGTTTCATTGTACCTAGGTAAATGTTACACTACTGGGAGAAAAGCAGCTAATGGCTGGTGGGCATCCTGGGCCTGGTTAATGCCAACTCTCTGATAACTATACCAGTGTGCTAGCGTAGACACCTAGCCTATTCTATCATTTTCTTAGAAATGTGGGGAGCAGATATCAGCAGGCCTGAATAAAGGACCCATATGGAGTGTGCATGGGCCCACAGCACACAGCCAGAAGACGGGGCATGGGGGAGGGTGTGGATTGCTCAGGGAAGTGAATTTGGAGATGTGTGGGAGGGAGGCTTGCTGAGCGAAAACATGTCAGGTGAGGCGTGACTTCTGAGGGATTTTCACCAACCTGACTACAGCACTTGCAGGTAAACAATGGGACTGAGACCAGGTGGTTTAGATGAGGGAAACCAGAGGACCTTTTAGGGCCAAACCAATACACCTGCCCACATGGGAGACCTGAGCTGGGATTGTTGGAATTAATCACCGCCTACCAGCACACACGAAGCCATGGCTGCGGGGCCTGCCTGAGGAGGCTCCACCACAGTACACTCCAGTGAGTGTTGGGGCAGGGGTAGACCACGTCAGGCTGGGCCATGACACTAACCAGTATACGAGAGAGCTGGATCTTGGGGCAGATTCTGTGGGGGGTTGTGAGCTCACCTCTGTGGGACTGCCATACCTGCTGGTTTCCTTGAGGGTTGGGGTGGTGACAGGCCGAGCTAGGCATGGCCATGGAACGCAATAGCGGTCGGCAGCATTCACTAGTGTGCACATGAAATGGGGTGGGGGACAGAACTGATGAGGTGACCGCAGCCACCAGTGTGTGTGTAGGCTGGCGTGAGTGGTGGACTGAGCCAGAGCCCACACAGGGGTCAGGTTGGGATCACTCTATGAAGGTTTCTTAGGGAGCCCTAAGATCACAGTATCCATGTTCTCACCGTGGAGTGCATGTGTCAAAACGCCAAGGTTGTTGAGCCCTGTGTGGTGGACCGTATGCCCAGATGCTACTGCCTGTGGTGCCTACATGGGCGAGCCTGCTGGAGCCCGCCTGCTTGTCGGCTGACCCAGCTCCTTGTTAATGTACCTGGGTAGGCAGTTGAAGTCGTTGGGTGCCTGCACCCATGTGGACAGGGATCCTCGCTTCAGCCTGGCCCAGCTGCGGCTGTTGTAGCCATTTGCAGAGTGAACTAGGTGATGGAAGATCTCTGTGTGTCTCTGTCTCCCTCCTCTGTTGCTATTTCAAATAGATAAAATAACTCTTACAAAAGAAGAGGTGAATGATCTCCACTTGAGAAGAAGAGAGGAAAATGTAGCCCAAGATCACTAAGGCAGGACAAATGCTGCTGCAGAGCTCTGAGGAACAGAAATGACACTAAGTGTTTCCTGTCGAAGTCACAGACACAGGCAGAATGCACAGGCCAGAGAAGGCACGCAGTTCCCTGCTCTGTCGTCTGAAATAGTAGGCCCTCTCTGGGGCCACAATGCTGCCCAACATTCTCTGGAAGTCCCACAAAGTCACTTTGCACGGGCATGAAAGATGGGGCAAACCGCTGGGATCCTGCTGAGGAGAGCGGCCGCCTGAGCCCTGCACTTGATCAGGGCACCCTTGACATCACTGTTCCGCAGGCTGTAGATGAGGGGGTTCAGCACAGGTGTGAAGATGATGTAGAAGGTAGACACAGCCTTGTTGTGGCTGGCCGACCTGTGGGACATGGGCCTCATGTATTCAAACAAACCTGCTCCGAAGAAGAGTCCCACCACCACCAGGTGGGAAGAGCAGGTGGCCAAGGCCTTCCTGCAGGCCTCCACAGAGCGCATGCGCAGGACAGCAGCCAGGATGAGGCCGTAGGAGGCCAGGATGAGGGCAAAGGGGACCAGCAGCATCAGCACACAGCAGGTGTACATGAGGTACTCAAAGACTGACATGTCGGCACAGGCCAGGGGCACGAGGGCGGGGGCCTCGCACAAGAAATGGTCAATCTCGTGTGACCCACAAAAGGGGAAGCTCAGGGTGACGGCCGCCTGCAGGATCCCGTCTGCCGCGCCCAGGACCCACGACCCTGCGGTCATCTGCAGACAGAGGCGCCGGTTCATGAGCACCAGGTAGCGCAGCGGGTGGCAGATGGCCACGTAGCGGTCGTAAGACATGGCTGCCAGCAGGAAGCACTCCCCGCCTGCTAAGGTCACGAGGGAGAAAATCTGCGCCCCGCACGCGGCGCGGGAGATGGACATGTTTCCGGTCAGGTAGTCGGCAGCCATCTTGGGCACGATGGCCGACACAATCATGAGGTCCATGAGGGCCAGCTGGCCCAGGAGGCGGTACATGGGAGTGTGGAGCCGGCGGTCCCTGAGGATCAGGAGCAGCAGGAACGTGTTGCCCATGATGGACACGGTGGTCACTGCCAGCATAGCGCTGAAGAGGAGGAAGTGCAGCCTGGTGTGGCTGAAGAGCCCCAGGAGCAGAAAGTCTGAGGTGACGCTCCCGTTTTCCATAGTGTCAGACAGAGGAGGCCCCGTCCGATGGGCAGCGGGGGCGGGAGACTGTCAGCACGCACAGTGGGTTACAGGAATCTCGCCTTTGCAGCGTCGGCCTGTGGGAAGACAATGAAGCCCATCCCACATCTCCCACCCTCCTACCCAGAAATGTCCTCACTGGGACATGAAGCTTGCTTCAAACCCAGCTCATGAGCAGGCTGTCCTGATGACTGGACATGCTGAGTGACGATGACGGGACGAGTGCAAACGGATGATGCATAGTGAGCAACGCAGCAGTGAGAGTTTGCATGAGCTGACACCAACGTGGTGGCCCAGCAAGAAAGAAGCAGCTGCTAAGCCACTCGTATCCATGCTTGCCTCACGTCATGCTTGGCTAACATTCCTAGAACCAAAATAATATTAAAGGCAGTATTAATATAAAGGTTACACATTTAGAACACATCAACATGTATTGAAATTGTTCCCAACAAAATTTATCTAGGAGAAGCAGGTGCCCTGGTATGGTGGGCTAAGCTTCTGCCTTGGTACCAATGTCCCATGTGAGCAGCAGTGTGTCCCAGTGTGTCCCAGCTGCTCCACTTCCAATCCAGCTACCTGCTGATGGAAAAGAAGCAAATGACGACTCAGGTGTTTGGTCTCCTGCACTCACACGGAAGACCCAGAAGTAAGACCTGGCTCCCAGCTTCGGATCAGCTTGGCTCCAGTCATTTGAAGATGGAATACCTCTCTCTCCCTTTCCCCCTCTCTCTCCCTCTCCTTCCCTCTCTCTCTCTCTCCCTCTGTGTGTGTGTTTCCTTCTAATTCTGCCTCTCAAATAAAAATAAAAGTAAATCTTTAAAAGTCAACCTGGAAAGGAAGCCAGAAGGACTGAGTGTGCAGCCGGAAGCACACCTGATTCAGGAAATACATTTTCTTATGATGACGTTTAAGAGATTCTTAAACTGGAAATTATTATAGCTTGGTATTCTTAGATAGCGATATCTCTGCACTTTTAATTCGAAATAAATAAATTTAAGGAATCATTATGAATTATATTGTCTTATCAGTATGCAATAATGTTGAGGTCCCTGGAGGGAAAGATCAAGAAGTGTGCCAGTCAGCTGAGTGGTATGTCACATGCAACAGTGGCATTCACTTTTCTTAAAAATCAGTGTCTCCCTGTCCATATTCCACATGCGACACAATTTACCACCAGTTAAACATGTAAGCACAGAGAGTAACAAATCCTAAAAAGTCAACCATGGATTTTAAAAAAAAATGTAATTAAATTAGTCATTAGGAATGACCTTGCAAGTCAGATACCTGAACATCACAGGGAGGGACAAAGGCTCACACACCAACAGCTGCAGGGTTCCAGCGTCCTGGAAACCCTTTCCGCTGTGAGACTGCGGGAAGCTGGAGAGCCCTGGACTCCACTCTGCTCAGCTCCTGGAGCCTCCTGCCACAGGGGCTAACATGGCCACAGCTTCTTTAATTTCCCATCTGTCCTTTCCAAAGCTGTTGGAAGGCACAGATACATACTTTTGCTTTTGCAACAAAGCCCTTTGAGAGATCATAGAAAATTGAGCACTGACTCTGTCATCTCATTTCCTGGGCTTTTCTGGTGATGTTGTCAAAATTTGATATTGAAAGATTCCTTAACTGAAGTACCAAAGCAATGAGTCAATGTAAAATATAAATGAGCTGATATAAAACAGTGAGAGACGGGTTTTTTTTTTACCTGAGAGAACTGGCAGGTGGCTGCAGGATTAGCCTTCCTGGAGAATGTGAGCTGGATGACAGCAAGCGTGCTGTGACTGCAGAGCGAGTGGCGCACCTGCAGGGTCCAGGGCAAACGTGGCTGCGGTGACTGAGACCCACTCAGAGGACGGCATCTCCAGCACTCCTCTGTGTCCGCTCACTTATGCCAGCACCTGTAGTGTCCTGTGAGAGCATGTGGCCTCGTGCCAGCCTTGGCTATTAACACGGTCTCATTAACATGTCTAAAGTTTGTTCTGTTTCCCACCTGCTTCCCAAGGCTGCAATTTGCTAAAACAGGATGATTTAGAGACAGTAAAGTGTGAAGCATGACTTGGAATGGGACAGCTGTTTGACCTTATCTCCCCATGCAAAAGAGTGTGATTCTGGCTTTTCTTCAATAGGAGAGAAAATTAAACAAGATGCTACTGAAACTGGCTCTTGTTACGAATAGGCAATAGATAGCAGTGAAGGCCATGGCAGAGTTCAGCTGTTATTTGTCATGAACTGAATGTGACAGAATCAATGCTTATTAAACATAGCAATTTATTTGCATCTATGATAAATAATTGCATTTGGGGGGCCAGTATTACGGCACACCAGGTTAGGCTGTCACCTACAACAACAATATTCCATATAGGCACGGGGCTGAGCTCTGAGCTCTGGTTGCTCTACTTCCCATCCTGCTCCTAACTACTGTGCCTGAGAAAGCAAACGACGCACCTGCACCCATGAGGGAGACCTGGATGAAGCTGCAGCCTCCTGGCCTTGGCTATTGTGGCCATGTAGGAAGTGAACCAGCAGATGGAAGAGCTTTCTCTTTTCCATGTCTCATTTTCTCCCTATAACTCCACCTTTTGAATGAATAAATAAATCTTTATATGTGCATGCAAACTTATATTTTTATGTTGAATTTTTTGCATGTATGTGAAAACCCAGTGGGAACAGCATCAAAGGGCAAGGCGGGCTGCGTGCACACCACATCTGTGCCGGAAGGTCTTGTGTGGCAAGCTGCGGCTCCTTCTGAAAACTGTTGGCAGAGCCCCGAGAGCCCAGTGCATACACTGCATCTCCTGTGGCCTCAGGAGCAGGGAAAGCCATGACACTGAAATCACTTCATGCAGGTGAGTCTCTGCTATTTTGTTTGTTGATAAGAAAGGCACGTCACAGATTTCTGGAATTTCCTTCATTCTTTTTATTCGCTTATTTTGACCAACAGAATCAGAGACAGAATCAGATGTGCAGATCTCCCAGCCATTGCTCACTCCTCAAAGACTGCCACAGTCAGGACCACAGCAGGCTGAAGCCTGCAGACCCCTAACCCATAAGGTCTCCCAGGTGGACATCAGGGACCCAAGCACGTTGGACCGCCAACTGCAACCCTCTGGGTGCATCAGCAGGAAGTGAATAGGGCACTCTGGGCCATCACTTGCACAGGCCACGTCCCCAGGGGGGCCCAGACACTGTGGGGTGGGATGTGGGTCACGCCGGCAGCAGCCAGTCGTCCACCCCACAGCTTTCACTGAATTTGGCCTGTGGACACTGAGTCTTAGTGGAATTCAGATCCCACTACCTTACATGTCTGCTTGATAGTTTAGCTGTGGGCATCATTTACAAAGGCTGGAGTTTGCACTGCCAGGCACGTGGTCTGTGAGCTGCCCAGGGTGTCATTTTGCTGTGCAGTTACTTCTGACTTCCAGAGTCTCATTTACTTTTGGTTTTGCAACTTGCTTTTGATGAGATATATAAAAAAATAAAATAAAATGACTCGTCAAGGCTCACATTACAGAGATGTCCTTGCCTTTGAACTTTAGTGTCCCACGTCTGGAGTTGAGGTGTTTCAAAGCCACTTGTGTTACTTTCCTTTATGGGGAAAGACTGTAAGATACCAGTGCAACTTATTCCTTTCGTTGTGGAAATCCCGTTTTCTAAATTACTTGTTGAAAAAACAGTCTCATACCCTGGGAACTTCTTTGCTGTTCATGTGTTGATGAATCGTGAGGCAGGTCAGTGTTTGCTTAAACACATTTTCAAATGAGGAAATTACCAACAACAAAGCAGAAAGATGGAAACACATCCCGTCCAGCTATACACGCAGCTGTTACTTCCTGGTGCCCACAGGGGCCAAGTGTCCGCTGCACTGCAAACGATGCTGGAGATCTGGGTCCATCTGGCCTGTCTCCATGGGACAATACACCCCTGGCACAGCTCTGACTTGCTGCAACCCTAGCCTTCTTCCAGGAGGAGGAAAAGGATCAAGTAAGTTGTCCTCCTGGTCTTTAAGGATCTGAGGTTATGACTCAGCCATAACCCATTTGCTGAGGCTTCCACTCTCCTCCTTTCCCAGATGCCGAGACATGGCTCCCACATGAACACTGGCCAGCCGAGCTCTTACCCCAGCCTGTGGCCATGGTGTGTGCCCACAGAGATGGGTGCCTATACCTGCTTCAGCATCAGTGTGAGCAGCCTTCAGGGTGGCTGTGTGGGTTATGATGTGAGTGTCACCTCTTTAGAGGATCCAGGTGACAGGTGCACAGCTGCCTCTTTGTTGCCCTCACCCCGGTACCCACGTGTTCCATTTTGGAGATTCTCTGGCCTTGTCTGGCCACTGGTCAGTCTCCACATGTGGTCTTGGTCTAGGCTGCATCACAAGACCACAGTGATCCTGGCCCAGACCAGCCAGCAAGCTTTTGTGTCGGATGTGCACATCTGATAATTAAGTGATGAGATTGGCATAGTGGCAATCTAGGGAGTGCAATGGAGCAGTAGTCACTGCCACACAGCCCAACAGCGCTGTAGAAATCTTGGAAGCTGCTTTATTCTTGTACTGTTTAGTTACCTGAACTAGATATGGTTTCTAATTTCCTCAAAGTATGTACTTGGATACAGTTAAGTGAAAGCATCAGGGTAGCTCATTAGCATACAGGAAACCATCCACCAAAGGAGGCAAAGGGTTGGACTTGGTTCCCCTGAGGAGGGCAGCTGCTGTTGCTAGAGCTGGCGACGTAGCATTGTTCTGTCTGTCTGTTAGACACACGCCACGTCACAGAACACCAAAGAGGGGAGAGAAGTGGGTCTCCAGAGACTACCACATCCAGATCCCCAGAACTTGCCACTGTCTTGGGCTCTAAGTCAGGGGAATTGAGATGGAACAAAGGCTGCTAATTTTGAGATATTTTGTCAGTTTCCATTCTGCTTACTCATGCCTGTAACCTCGTCACAGCACAGAGCTGTAAGATGTCTGAGGAGCTGTGGCTGAGAGAAGGAATTGCTGTCGGAGCCAGCATGGCCGTATGATGCCACAGGAACAGGGCTGGCCACAGTCAGTGAGTTGTTTTTCAGCGGGGCTTTCACCACGTGGGCCACTAGCTAGGTGTTACCAGCACAAGAAAATGGCTCGGCCTGTGTAGATCATAGACAGTAGCCCAGAACCTCAGGCAGGCCTGCAGCCTGTTCACCTGGACCACCTCACACACCGTCCTGTCACTTCAATCACTGTCTACAGGAGTTTCATGTTAGCCGTAGCGCTTGCTGCCTATGAATTCCATTTCAGGGCATTAAAGATCATTCAAAACAAGGATGCTGTGGAGATGCAAGACTGAGAAAACCTTACAAGTCCAGTAGATTTGGCAGGTGTCCACATAGATCTCCCCTGACGTCATCCCAGGTGGTGTTCAGGAGCAGCTATCTAAAGTTGTTAACGTTGTGTCAGCATCAGAGTTCAAAGACGCATGTGTGTGCCACTCTCCACTATCCCAGCAGTCTCCTCATAGCCCCTATAACGTCCTTATTCCTCAGGCTATAGATAAACGGGTTCAGGAGAGGGGTGACAATGGTATAAAACACGGCCACCACCTTGTCCTGTGCAGGAGAATGCAAGGAGTGTGGCCTTGTGTAGGTGGACAGGGTGGTTGCATAGAACAGGCTGGCCACAATCAGGTGTGAGGAACAAGTGGACACGGCCTTGGACTGCCCCTTTCCTGAGCTCATCTGGAAGACAATGACAAGCACCCGTGCATAGGAAGCTATGATGGCCACAAAGGGCAGCAGCAGGATAATAAGCCCACTCAGGAGCACTGTGTACTCATACTGGGAAGTGTCCTGACACACCAAGGGCAGCAGAGATGGGACCTCACAGAAGAAGTGGTCGACAAGCCGAGACCCGCAGAAGGGAAGTTGGAATACATACAGCGTGTGCATGAATGCATTGATGGAACCGCTGGTCCACGCACAAGCCACCATGAAGCCACAGACCTTCCTGCTCATGAGGACAGAGTACCGTAAGGGGTGGCAGATGGCAATGTACCGATCATAAGCCATGAAGCCCAGAAGAAGGGCCTCGGATCCTCCCAGCCCCAAGAACACAAATGCTTGAATCTCACAACCCATGAAAGTAATGGTCCTGGTATTCGAGAGAAAGTTAGCTGCCATCTTGGGCACGGTGGTTGAGATGTACATGGTGTCGATGATGGAGAGCTGGCTGAGCAGGAAGTACATGGGTGTGTGGAGCCGGGCGTCCAACCGGATGAGGTGGATCAGGATGAAGTTACCTGTCAGAGCTGCTAAAAAGAGGATGGCAAGGACAGCAAAGAGAAGAACGTTCATCTGGCCATAATGGAAAAGACCAGAAAGTGTGAAATCTGTCCCAGAGCTTTGGTTCCCCTTTCTCATGGCTTAGATGGAGAATCCTGAACATGCGTGTGACGGAGATCACTGCTCCTGGAAAGAAAGCAAAATCACCACTATGCAACACAACAACACGCTGTACAGTCACTGGGACTGAGCAGCTCTCCCCATTACACAAATCTGGCTCTATAAGTAGAGAAATTGAAATACTCCTATTGTGATATAATTAAAATGAAAATAAAGTAAAACATTTACACTATTTATCCTCATGTATAGTCCCTCTGGGACTTCTCTCCAAGGAGACTGGACACGTCTCTCCCTCATGTTCTCATGTAAGTGAGCAGCAGAGTGTGATGAAGTGGACAGATGTACCAAGGACAAAGTGGACAGATGCACCATGGACAAAGTGAACAGATGCACCATGGACCATGTGGACAGGTGCGCCATGGACCAAGTGGACGGGTGCACCATGGACAAAGTGGACAGATGCACCATGGACCATGTGGACAGGTGCACCGTGGACAAAGTGGACAGATGCACCGTGGACAAAGTGAACAGATGCACCATGGACCATGTGGACAGGTGCGCCATGGACCAAGTGGACAGACGTACCATGGTTTTTAATACCTGTTTCCCTCATCCCTCAATTTGGAATTATGTTGGCTATGAATTGGAATAAAAGTCATAGGAACATTTGTGTGGAGTTATATTGCCACCCTTACATTTAATTAATTATTAATTTAGGGGAAAAGTCTAACAAACATTAGACAAACTAAATATATCCCAAAAAACTGTGCTAGTTAGAATTATATGGAACTAGCAACACAGAAGTGCTTTGTGTACTACTCTACAATAATTTCATGCCACATACATTACTATCATTACATTTCAATACACGTAAGACAAAAATGGCTTAAATTTAAAAAGTATATATATTTACAATGAAAATGATCCCTTTGAGCATATAGAATAAATACCATCAAATGGTAGTTCTGAATAAACATATTCACAACAATTCAATCTAAATTTCCAAATTATATATTTTTAGTCATGATGTAATTTTAGTTTTAAAAAAACTGTAAAAAAAACATCAAACTAAAAAGAAATAAGAAAACAATTTACAGAAGAGCATAAGATACAAATGTAAGGTTTTATAGAGACAAATATTGCAATAACTGAAGATAAAATAGAAAATAATTTTTATCTATAACAGGAATTACATAACTATTTACTTTGTGACAATATTTATGATATAGAATATTTGTTGTCAATCATATATACAAGGCAGGAAAATTGCTTTTAAATATAAGGATGCAGGAATGGTTTTGGATTCCTGGAGTGGTCATTTCATCATATGGAGATAACTCAGAATCATTCCTATTGATTCCTCAAAATACCTGCACCCAGAAATAAGAAACTTCTAACCAGAATACATAGGCCATTATGACGGCAACTTGATGCCTTAAACATAAAAGCTTGAGTAAATGGAGAATGTACATCTGTCTGAGTAAGTGGGGAAAGGTTGTACACAGATGATAAGTAAACAGAGTTGTAGCAACGCAGTCATCTGAAGCCCCCATCAATGCTATGCAAGTAAAACAATGTTACTGATCAATTCAAAAACACTGCATCAAGAACACAACCAAAGGTGCACAACCAACTTTTTGACTATGTGGTGTATTTTTTATAAAGATTTAATCACAAGGTTTGTCATTTTCCCTCTTTTGGACCAATAGTCTAATTTATAATTGGTATTTTTCTCCAGTAAATAGTACTAAACAGCAAATGCACTTTTGGTACAAGCATGTTCAACTATACATCCTTTTGAAAGCAATTTACTCTGATGAACACATAATCAAAGAGGAGAAAAAGATTTTTAATGATTAACCTATTGTTGCAATGTCATGTATTCAAAAATTAACTGGGAAGAATGGAGTTATGAACACAAACACATACATGATCACTCAAAGTTTGTGAAAAATCATAATTGTGTTTATACTTACTTCACAGATGACAGGTGCTGGGAGGAACATCCAGAAGACATTTAACCCTCCTCATTTCTAAGTGAACCCACCCAGTCTCCTCACCAATATGCAAAGTTACCTTCTTTGTTCAGATGAAATGCCAATTGTTAAAAAAAAAACTAAGATGTGATGGGTTCTATGCTACTGTATTCACCACTGCTACAAAAAGCACAAGCCAATCTCCAGCCCCAGAGACAAGTACAATCCATCCCACTTTACCTGGAAATATTCCGTTACAAGTAGCTTTGAATCTTACCCATCTAAACCAGTGTCAGCGTTCCTACTGACCATAACAGATCTGAAAACTAGTTTAAGATTATTAGAGTCATGCCCTAAAAACCCACCAATTGTTTTAAAAACAGCTTTATAAAGTAAGCAGTTCAATTTGTACTTCTTCTCATCCTAATACAGCCTCTGGTAGTCTCAACATTGTCTGCATATATTATTTTATCATTACCCTCCATGTTTACGTGTAATTTTAAATTATGGTTTTATTAAAATCTTTATTATTATAAATTGTTAAAGATGTCATATCTCATTACTGGAGTCAGGAACTGCATCATTTGTTAAAATAATCAGGAGATAATAACACACATTTCAGAACTCCAAGTGCTGGTGACAGCATGCACTGCCAGGGCGCTGCACACCTGCACGACGTCTGTTGATTCAACTAGGTGGATACACCTCCACCTAGTTGGGGTTTTGACATTCCAGAAACACTGATGAACATGATGATGATGTGCTAAGCACAATGATAAAATCTGATGCTAAAGCAAGGAATAGCCACGTCTCCCACCTAAACAGGACGAGGGAGATCTCCCGGTCACACGTCCAACAATGGACACAGTAACCCCATGTGCCCCAACCCCTCACTGCCCACCTCTGTCCTAGTGATCCTGGGAGGGCTCAAATCCAGCAGATAAAATAAATCACACATACATGTCATTATGCTTCTGTTGTCTTTTCAGGCTTCCTTGAAGTAACACCTACGTGAATCACCCAGCCCAGAATCAACCCAAACCAAAATTACTGGGCACGCAAGAGAAGTAACTGAACTCATTCTACAGAATCATTCAAACAAAACACATACCTTTAAATAGCCTTGTGAGACCTGTTTCCTGTGTTTATTTGACACAAGTTACTGTAAATTCCCCCAGGATCTCCCAGTTTCCTTCAGCATAAACTGGCCAAGCAACCCCTTGGGACGCTCTACCAGCACCTCATGGATAAGCCCTTTGACTCCTGCCAAGCTCAGCCTCCATGGCAAGACATAGCCTGGAGGAGAGACATTCTACGCTAGAGAGGCAGGTATGCAAGCCATTGTTCATTTTACAAAACAATCAATATTACAATCAAGTCATTGTCATATGTGTGTGTGTATATGTATATATGTGACAGTGTGTGTATGTATATGTGTGGATAGATAGATATCGCCTCTCACTTCAGAGCTATGGCTTCATTCTTCCAGGATTTTTCCCCAGAAATTAAGAAAGAAAAAAAAAAACCTTAAAAACGAATGAGAGATGAATCTAAACACAGGAGCAATTCCCTGCCACTCACTTGCAACAGTTAGAGGTCCCAGCAACTCCCCCTTGGATTAACATGTTTATCTTATGACTCAAAAAGACATGAAAATAGGATGACTTATTTAAGTAAACAAACTACTGAACGTGATGCATCTGAAAGGAAGTTGTAAACTTTTAAAACACCTTATTTGGAACACATTTTAGCAACTATTAAGATTATGGTTTATTATTCTGGCTTTCAATAACCTGGCATAATAAATTCAGCAGAAAATACAATTTTGACACTGCCAGTATGCTGGAATTCTTTGTGTTTCTGAATCTCAGGCTAACTAAGCTGAGTTCCTAATCAAAATGAGAGCTCACGTCTGTCCACACAGATCTCCTGGGAACACTTGGTCTCCTGGCCACAATTAAACCCAAATTTAAAAAAAAAAAAAAAGATGGTTCATTCCAACTGGTCTTTGGCTTCAGGACAATCAGCAACACAGAACTGATGAGGTGAGTTCAAAGCCAAAACAGTGTGATTACAGTAAAAGTGTTCAAAGTCAATATTTCAGCTTGGCTCTCCAGGGCTACGGTCAGCATTTGATATGCACATCACAATTCAGTTGTTTTTCAGGGAAAGGCCTCTTATTATTCAATCGTTCATTGGCTTATTCAACATAACTTATAGATTATTATATAAGCACCAGGAAAAACATGCAAGGCCTCTGAATCCAAGCAAGCCATTGTCCTCCTCCCAAGATGCCCACTGTGACCATGGGGACAATAGGTCAGCACTGCCCCTTGGGAGGGAGGTTCATGGGACAATAGGTCAGCACTGCCCCTTGGGAGGGAGGTTCATGGGACAATAGGTCAGCACTGCCCCTTGGGAGGGAGGTTCAGGGTTCACACTCATATGGACTCTATGGGCTCGGGCTGAGGGTGGCTCATCCCAACAGGCTGACTTGAGGGGGAAGGGATGATTGGGGAGACACATCAGATCCGGTGTTACTGAAGGCATGAAAGCTAAGTGAAGATTTTGAAAGTGAATTTAGACCTGGGTGAAAACGCAGCAGGAGTCCAAGTGAGTTGGGCAGCCATCACCCAACACTAGAACTATCTCAGAGCTGTTGGGGAGAAGTGTTACTACACAGATAAAAGTATAGAGAGAGAAAGCTGCCAGGGTATAACAGTCACCCTATTAAAGAAAGTTAGTTCTAATTGCATATTTCCATTTCCCATTTTTAAAAAGCAGAATAAGAGTTGTCATTTTGTCACAACTTCCTGTGAGCAGTGAGCTCCAATACTATACAGATTTTAAAAATCAAATGAAATTTGAGAAATTATACATGAACAAAAGTTTGAGGAGGAAATAGAAACAATAATAAAATAAATGGAAACCCTGGAGATGAAGAATGCAAACGCGGATACAAACATTAAAATGCAGGGACGTTTCTCCCTCCATGAAGTCCCCACCTGCAATATGACAGGAGCCCTTTCCCTCTTTTTTCCTAAACAAATCCTATTTTGCAAGCTAGAGCTGGCCGCGTGAAATTTTTGAGGAAAACTTTCATTTATAACTATTACTAATTTGGGGCTGATGCCACACGTACTGTACAAGGGCACATGATGCCACACTACGGTGAAAAGGAAGGAAGGAAGGAAGGAAAAAAAAGGAAGGAAGAGTGAGGAAGGGAGGAAAAGAGAGAGAGAAAGAAGAAAGAAAGAGTCTCACTGTGAACCCTGGAGATGCCCTTTGCTTTCTAGACATCCTTGCCTTCAGTGGGACTAGACAACCCATGAACTTATTTACACAAATTTAACAACTTGTTGTGTCCTGAAAACCACATAGTCGTGAACACAATCAATGAGCAGGAGGTCTAGGAAGGACAACAGCTGGAGAGGAGTGCCTATCTGTGCCTCCTGAGTCCAGAGTCAGCAGTGGAGGAGGAGGGAGCCCCTCTCTGTGTCCCCCAAGTCCAGAGTCAGCAGTGGAGGAGGAGGGAGCCCCTCTCTGTGTCCCCCAAGTCCAGAGTCAGCAGTGGAGGAGGAGGGAGCCCCACTCTGTGTTCCCTAAGTCCAGAGTCAGCAGTGGAGGAGGAGGGAGCCCCACTCTGTGTTCCCTAAGTCCAGAGTCAGCAGTGGAGGAGGAGGGAGCCCCTCTCTGAGCCCACAGACCCAGAGGCAGGAAAGGGGGATGGAGGAAGCCTCTGTGTGTACCCAAAGTCCAGAGTCAGCAGTGGAACATGGAGGGAACCCCTCTCTGTCCGCACAACCAGAGTCAGCAGTGGAGCATGAAGGGAGCCACTATCTCTGTCCACACAGAGTCAGCAGTGGAGAATGAAGGAAGCCCCACTCTGTGTGTCCCCACACCAAGTCAGCATAGAGGAAGCAGGGGTCCACTCTCTGTGTCCCAAGCCCAGAGTCAGCAGTGGAGCATGGAGGGAGCCCCTCTCTGGGTCCCCACACCCAGAGTCAGCAGCGGAGCATGAAGGGGAAGCCCTCTCCGTGTGTCCCCCAAGTCCAAACTCAGCAGTTGAGCACGGATGGGCGAATAGGGGTGGAGAAGGATCCCACTGGTGGCCCCACCAAGCCCATCACACATCTCTAATGTCTGTTCTACACAGTCACAGCTACTCTGAAATGAACGAGAGGAAATCTCTTCGCCTTTGAACAGATCTTGCCAGTCAAGTGCAATGCTCAAAAGCTGGGAACCAAAATAAGACCACATGTAACTGCATTCAATAAGAGCCACGCACTCCAACAGGTCAACTAGCAAAGGCTGCAAGCAAATGACATTTGCAGAATACACCAAGTCTGAGGAACTCTGCCCTGTTGAACACTCATATTTCAGATGACGGGAAGTAGACCCTTAACAGAAGAGCTATGCAAAGCAGCTCAGATGTTTCATGGGGCGTGCACACCCCACATCACAGGGCTGAGATAACCTCCTGAATCCACTGGCGAGTCCAGTCTGGTCAGAGGGGCAATGCTTCACAATCAGGGAAGAAGCCACGCAGTGCACAACCCACAGCAGACAGGAATGAGACCAGCACCTGACAAGCACAATGAGTGTCCAGGGCATCCGGGAGCTGAGGAACCCAAGCACGTGCTGGTGGGTGAAGGAGCCTCACCCACTGGGAACAACAATTCAGAATGAGCAAGTGAGATTCCTGTCCCCAATGAAGATGGCTCTTCCTATCGACTCTTCACACTGAGAGTGTAAGCAGCCCAGCATACTGCCCAGCAGCATGCAGCACTTACTGCAGAGAGGCCCTCCTGGAGCCAGCACAGCCCAGCTGTCAGCAGGCATTCCTGGAGCCAGCACACCCAGCTGCCAGCAGCCCCTCCTGGACCCAGCACAGCCCACACCTTGCAGCCCCTCCTACAGCAGCACAGCCGTGTCAGACCCCTCCCCAACACTGGAGGACAGCACTGTAGCCCACCGTGCTCACATAGAGGACAGGGGTAGCCCTGTGTGCAGTGTGGCCCAACTAGAACCCCAGGGTGCTGATGCTTCCAGCAGCAGGAAGCTCAGCCAGCTCACAGTGCCTGACTCTTCCACGATATTCAGTTCCGGGTTTCCAGTTGTCTTCCTGGACTCACATTTCCAGGTCAACGAGGTTCACCCAGAGATGAGCATATTTCAGCCCACATCAGTGGTGGCTGAACTGACTTCCTACCCAGAACACAGCGACCATCTCCCTGTGGGAACAGCAGGGACCCTGCACTGTGGGTGTCTGTGCTATGTGTCTGCCTTGAGTCCACAAAGCCACCTGCATCCTCAGAACTGTCAGACTCCCAGACCCTGCACTGTGTGTGTCTGAGCTGTGTGTCCAGCTCTAGCCCCTGACAGCCCCTGCATCCTCCAGCTGCCACAAACAGACCCTCAGCCCACACTCCCCACACATGGCCATCCAGGTCAAGACTCGCAGCTCAAACAAAATTACCCACAAATGCACACACGATGCCATGGCAGTGACAAAACAAGGAGCCCTAGCTGCAGTTTACCAAGAATAGAGAAAATAAGAGATTCCAGAGAGGAAACAGGAGGGCAAGGTTCCACACAGACACAGGACAGGGCCGTGGAGGAAGAGGAGAGGGAGGAAGAGGCAGGGAGGCAGGAGGCCTGGCCGTCAGCAGTGACTGCAGAGCCGAGCCCTGGTCCCCGGGTGACTGCTTCCCCTCCCTCCTCCAGACCCACTCTTACAACTGTCCTCTCACTACCTCCACACTGTGTGACCCAGCCGTGGAGAAAGGCCCGGCATGGTGGCAGGAGCTGAGCCCCTGCTGCCTTCCATGCCAGGGACACTGGCCCAGGAGGAAGGCTCCAGTACAGAGCCATCTGGGACAATACAGGGCACTGCCCCGGGACGGCCCAGGTTCCAGTCCTAAGACTGCATGCCTGGGGCCCCAGGATGGTCTGCCTGAGCCATGGCCCCTGCTACACCAGAGGGGGCTGCCTACCTTGCCTGATTTGCACAGCATGGGCTCAGGGAGGACCTGCCCTGCCCAGGTTGGACTCAGGTGACCCTGGGCATTAGTGTTGCAGCAGGCACCACTGCCCGCTCAGCTCGGTGCTCTGGCCGCTCTTCCCAGGGGCATGTGCAGCTGCTCTGCCAGCCTGCTGATCCAGCATGAATTCCCTCAGCAGGTGGAGGACCACGGCGGCAGGGGGGACATGGCACAGAGACAGAGGCCCCTACCAGAGCACCCCCTGCTGAGCCGAGCTGCCATGACCTGCTGCTCCCTCGATCCAGGCTTTGAGGACCAGGACTGTGGCCCTACACAGCCAGTGCCCTCTAAGGGGCCTCTAGGGAGTGTGCGTCCACCGTCCCCTGGGCTGGGACTGTTGAGGAGGACGTGCACAGAGACAGGCTCTCAGTAGAGAGCGGTTGAGCACCCAGGGGATTGAGGGCAGAGAATGCAGCCCAGCCCTCAGCCCTTGTCCATCACCCACCCTTGGCCTGCGACCTTGTCTTCAGATGCCCTCTGTCATGTCCCCCAACTTCTGCCCGGTCACTGACACACAGATCTACCACAACCAACGTGACATGACCAGTGTTGGAGAGGGGCAATTGTCAGTTGTGAAAATAAAAAAAGAGACAGACACAAGATAGAGACTACAAAATCAGGCAGCAGCCAGAGGGACATCCCTTCCTCTGAGGAAAGCGGTATACCTAGAAGGCTTGCTGCCTCAATCTTTACTGAAATGCTCAGGTAGCCAAATCTAGGATTTGATGCAGCACAAGCGTTGTTAGCCATGTCCCATGCTGATGTTAACCAAAGTTTCATGATCCGGAACAAACCGTGTGATCGTAGCACAGAAGTCAGGATGGAATGTCTCAAGGAGATTCAAAATACACAGTCCTGTGGCCTTGGGAGTCGTCCAGAACTGACCCACACCTGCAGGATTCAACCCTGGATCTTCGCCCAGAGCAGACCCACACCAGGAGCCCTGGACAATCAGCCAGTACAGACCCATACCTGATGAGCTCCACCTTGGGCCATCGCCCAGTACAGATCCATACCTGCTGACCTCCACCTTGGCCTTTTGCCCACTCACACATCATTGTGTGCAGTTTATATTTGGTCTCCAGAAGCAGCAGCCTGTGAGTTCAGGATTCCCGACACAGTCTCTCCTAGTCTTTCTTACAAGCCATGTTGTTACTTTCTGAAATAACCCATGCAAGGCCATGCTAGGTCAGAGCAGATTGCAGCTCCTGGAGAAACAACTGAGGGAGATAGAAGGAACTGCAGGAGCACACAGGAGCGTGAGCTGTGGAACACACGTGCTTCCTGTGGGAAGAGGCCTTGGTGGGGGCACGGGCACTGGGGAGCTGGGTCACACTGAAACACCAGGAACCCACAAAGGGACCAAGATGGACAGAAGCAGTCCTGGGGCAGCACAGCTCTGCCCTCCTGTGGTCAAGGGTGTGCATAACCAGAAGCTGAACCCAGGACAGCACAGCTCTGCCCTCCTGTGGTCAAGGGTGAACATTACTGGATGCTGACCCCAGAACAGCACAGCTCTGCATTAGCTTGTTCCACAGTGCACATTGCCAGAAGCAGATCCCAGGACAACACAGCTGTACCCCCCAGGTGATCCACACTGCACATTGCTGGTTGCATGCCCAGGTCAGCTCCAGCTCTCCCTGCACCTGCCATACAGGCCAGCTGTAGGACCAGTGGGCAGATGGCAGAGTGAGCCATGCTCCAGATCCTAGAATCCGCAAAGCCTGGGCACCATTGGCAGGGAATGTGATGGGCAATGCAGGCTCACAGCACATTTGACCCAGTCCTACCGATGGCAACAGAGTCCAGGACAAAGTGACCTCAGCTGTAGCAGCCTGGCTCTCCTGCTTACCCCTTCCTCAGCGCCAGGCTCCCAAGAAGCAGCCTCCTCAGAGCCCCCTTCACCTCCTTGTTCCTGAGGGTGTAGATGAGGGGGTTGAACAGGGGTGTGACGATGTTGTAGAAGAGGGTGAGGAACTTGCCCTGCTCCTGCGAGGCACTGCGGCCAGGCTGCATGTACATGTAGATGATGTTCCCATAGAACAGGGCCACCACGGTCAGGTGGGAGCCGCAGGTGTTGAAGACTTTGTGCCTCCCGGAAGACGACCGCATTCTGAGCACGGCACCCACGATCTGGCTGTAGGAGACCAGGATGAACATCAGGGGGCACAGCACGATGCCCACGGCCAAGATAAACACAGCACCTTCCATGATAGAGGTGTCCACGCAGGACATTCGGATCATTGCTGGCATCTCACACAGGAAGTGGTCCACACGTCGGTTCCCACAGCGAGGCAAGCTCAGGGTCACAGGAGACATGGCCAGTGAGTTGGCCACCCCACAGCCCCAGGCCAGGGACACCAGGCCCAGACAGACCCTCGGATTCATGATCACCAGGTAGTGCAGGGGCCTGCAGATGGCCACAAAGCGGTCATAGGCCATGACGGCCAGCAGCAGGCATTCCACACTGCCCAGTGCCAGGAACAGGAAGAGCTGCAGGGCACAGCCTGCATAGCTGATGGTCTTGTCACGTCCACTCAGGTTGTAGAGCAGCTGGGGGATGGAGCTGCTGGTGAAGCTGAGGTCCAGGAAGGACAGGTGGGTGAGGAAGAAGTACATGGGCGTGTGCAGGTTAGGGTCCAGCCGCGACACCAGGATGATGGTGCTGTTGCCCAACAGGGTGAGGACGTAGGCAATGAGGATGACCACAAAGAGGACCCTCTCCAGGCTGGGGCGGTCAGAGAATCCCAGCAGGATGAACCCCCCGTGGGTGCTGCTGTTAGACGCATCCATGTCCCTGCCCAGAAGCTGGGTCAGCCACCCCTGCAGGAGCAGCTCACATTGAAGGGGCACTGACCAGAGCCCATCCTCCCACTCTGCTGGCCACGTCTGTGACTCAAAGCTGGAACTGTCGCTGTCCTCTCTTCTCACCTTCACAACCTGGATGCTCAGTGCACAGGGGTCAGAGCTGAGAGGGGCCCAGGACACGGCCCCCAGTTCCTTTCAGAGAAAGGATCCTGCCATGTCCATGCACCACCTCCCCCAGAAGCCTGGGTCCATGACCTGTGGACTCCAGGAAGGCTCACAACACAGCATCCTGGTGGCCAGGGGCACTGTGGGAGGAAGGACGGTGATAGCGTGTGCCTCCTCACCAGACCCCAAGGGCCACGCTGGTCACATCATGGAAGATACGAGGTAACTGTAGAGGGTCTGGGAGAGAGATAATGCATGAGACCAAGGCCATTATAAGGCAAATCTGTAGAGCCGCTCTAGCTGTCTCCCTCTGCCTCTCTCCCTCTATCCCTCTCTGCCTTTCTCCCTCTATCTCTCTCCCCATTTCTCTTTCTCTCCCTCCTTCTCCCTCTCTCTCTCCCTCCCCCCTTTCTCCCTCTCTTTCTCTCTCCACTCTCCCTTTCCCCCCATCTCCCCCTCTCTGCCTCTCTCTTTCCCTCTCCTTCTCTTCCCTCCTCTCTCTCTCTCCCTCTGTCTCTCTCTCTCCTTCTCTTTCTCCCCCCTCCCTCCCTCCCCTCTGTCTTTCCCTCTCTCTCCTTCCCACCCTCTCTCTCTCCCTCTCTTTCTTTGAACCTACAGGAAGAAACAGCACATGCATGCTTGATTCTAAAGACCTTGGGAAAACTTACAGAGCAAAAGGAAGAAGGAGTGAAGAAGACCGGGAGAGAGAGAAAGAGAGAGAAGGAAGGCCCCATATAGCTCCACCCAACAAAGACCTACATGAATATCCTCAGAATCCAGGTCCACAAGCAAATCACCTACAGAGAAGAGTCTTTGCTGAGGTTCGCATGAGTCTTGCAGTCACACAGGGCAGCAGACATAAGACACCCTGGGCTACACTTCTGACCCCACAGTAGCCTAAGGTGGCCCAGGGGCTGCCACTCTGAGCCCCAGAGATGCCCTTTGCCATCTGGTCACACTTTGCCTACAATGGGACTAGGCACCCATGTGCTTATTTACAGATCATCGTAAGACAGGAGGATTTCACCTGTGGAGAAGGTGCCAATACACACTCACATGTTTAAAAAACTGTTGTGTCCTGAGAAAACACAGAGTCATAAGCCTGAAGGAAGAATGGGAGGTCTAGGAAGGAAAGAGCCTGGAGGAGAGGCCCTCTGTGTAGCCCAAGTCCAGAGTCGGCAATTGAGAATAGTGGAAAGACCCTCTGTGTGTAGCCGAGGTCCAGAGTCAGCAGTGGATAGGAAAGGGAGCCCCTCTCTGTGTACCCCAAGGCTAAAGTCAGCAGTGGAGCATGGAGAAAAACCTCTCTGTGTGTACCCCAAGGCAAGAGTCTTCAGTAGATCATGGAGGGGAGCCGCTCTGTGTGTCCCCAAGTCCAGAGTCATCCGATGAGCATGGAGGGGAGCACATCTCTGTGTGTGTCCCCACACCAAGTCAGCAGTGGAGCATGGAGGGGAGACCCTCTGTATGTCCCCCAAGTCCAGAGTCAGCAGTGGAGCATGGAGGGAGCCCCTCTCTGGGTCCCCACACCCAGAGTCAGCAGCGGAGCATGAAGGGGAAGCCCTCTCTGTGTGTCCCCCAAGTCCAGACTCAGCAGTCGAGCATGGAGGGGCGAATAGGGGTGGGAGAAGGATCCCACTGGTGGCCCCACCAAGCCCATCACACATCTCTAATGTCTGTTCTACACAGTCACAGCTGCTCTGAAATGAACGAGAGGAAATCTCTTCACGTTTGAACAGATTTTGCCAGTCAAGTGCAATGCTCAAAAGCTGGGAACCAAAATAAGACCACATGTAACTGCATTCAATAAGAGCCACGCACTCCAACAGGTCAACTAGCAAAGGCTGCAAGCAAATGACATTTGCAGAATACACCAAGTCTGAGGAACTCTGCCCTGTTGAACACTCATATTTCAGATGACGGGAAGTAGACCCTTAACAGAAGAGCTATGCAAAGCAGCTCAGATGTTTCATGAGGCGTGCACACCCCACATCACAGGGCTGAGATAACCTCCTGAATCCACTGGCGAGTCCAGTCTGGTCAGAGGGGCAATGCTTCACAATCAGGGAAGAAGCCACGCAGTGCACAACCCACAGCAGACAGGAATGAGACCAGCACCTGACAAGCACAATGAGTGTCCAGGGCATCTGGGAGCTGAGGAACCCAAGCACGTGCTGGTGGGTGAAGGAGCCTCACCCACTGGGAACAACAATTCAGAATGAGCAAGTGAGATTCCTGTCCCCAATGAAGATGGCTCTTCCTATCGACTCTTCACACTGAGAGTGTAAGCAGCCCAGCATACTGCCCAGCAGCATGCAGCACTTACTGCAGAGAGGCCCTCCTGGAGCCAGCACAGCCCAGCTGTCAGCAGGCATTCCTGGAGCCAGCACACCCAGCTGCCAGCAGCAAACCCGCTGGGATTCAGCACACCCACACCCTACAGTCCTTCCAAGACCCAGCACACACAGCTGCCAGCAGCCCCTCCTGGACCCAGCACAGCCCACACCTTGCAGCCCCTCCTACAGCAGCACAGCTGTGTCAGACCCCTCCCCAACACTGGAGGACAGCACTGTAGCCCACCGTGCTCACATAGAGGACAGGGGTAGCCCTGTGTGCAGTGTGGCCCAACTAGAACCCCAGGGTGCTGATGCTTCCAGCAGCAGGAAGCTCAGCCAGCTCACAGTGCCTGACTCTTCCACGATATTCAGTTCCGAGTTTCCAGTTGTCTTCCTGGACTCACATTTCCAGGTCAACGAGGTTCACCCAGAGATGAGCATATTTCAGCCCACATCAGTGGTGGCTGAACTGACTTCCTACCCAGAACACAGCGACCATCTCCCTGTGGGAACAGCAGGGACCCTGCACTGTGGGTGTCTGTGCTATGTGTCTGCCTTGAGTCCACAAAGCCACCTGCATCCTCAGAACTGTCAGACTCCCAGACCCTGCACTGTGTGTGTCTGAGCTGTGTGTCCAGCTCTAGCCCCTGACAGCCCCTGCATCCTCCAGCTGCCACAAACAGACCCTCAGCCCACACTCCCCACACATGGCCATCCAGGTCAAGACTCGCAGCTCAAACAAAATTACCCACAAATGCACACACGATGCCATGGCAGTGACAAAACAAGGAGCCCTAGCTGCAGTTTACCAAGAATAGAGAAAATAAGAGATTCCAGAGAGGAAACAGGAGGGCAAGGTTCCACACAGACACAGGACAGGGCCGTGGAGGAAGAGGAGAGGGAGGAAGAGGCAGGGAGGCAGGAGGCCTGGCCGTCAGCAGTGACTGCAGAGCCGATGGTCCCCGGGTGACTGCTTCCCCTTCCTCCTCCAGACCCACTCTTACAACTGTCCTCTCACTACCTCCACACTGTGTGACCCAGCCGTGGAGAAAGGCCCGGCATGGTGGCAGGAGCTGAGCCCCTGCTGCCTTCCATGCCAGGGACACTGGCCCAGGAGGAAGGCTCCAGTACAGAGCCGTCTGGGACAACACAGGGCACTGCCCCGGGACGGCCCAGGTTCCAGTCCTAAGACTGCATGCCTGGGGCCCCAGGATGGTCTGCCTGAGCCATGGCCCCTGCTACACCAGAGGGGGCTGCCTACCTTGCCTGATTTGCACAGCATGGGCTCAGGGAGGACCTGCCCTGCCCAGGTTGGACTCAGGTGACCCTGGGCATTGGTGTTGCAGCAGGCACCGCTGCCCGCTCAGCTCGGTGCTCTGGCCGCTCTTCCCAGGGGCATGTGCAGCTGCTCTGCCAGCCTGCTGATCCAGCATGAATTCCATCAGCAGGTGGAGGACCACAGCGGCAGGGGGGACATGGCACAGAGACAGAGGCCCCTACCGAGCACCCCCTGCTGAGCCGAGCTGCCATGACCTGCTGCTCCCTCGATCCAGGCTTTGAGGACCAGGACTGTGGCCCTACACAGCCAGTGCCCTCTAAGGGGCCTCTAGGGAGTGTGCGTCCACCGTCCCCTGGGCTGGGACTGTTGAGGAGGACGTGCACAGAGACAGGCTCTCAGTGGAGGGAGGTTGAGCACCCAGGGGATTGAGGGCAGAGAATGCAGCCCAGCCCTCAGCCCTTGTCCATCACCCACCCTTGGCCTGCGACCTTGTCTTCAGATGCCCTTCCCCCTGCAGGGGCAGCAGAAGAGTGGACAACCAGGCAGTGGACCATTGTTTTGTGTTCACAGGGTGTTGCCACCACCTGAGAACCACCAAAAATGCAGAATCCCATGCCCTTTCATGGCGACCGCCTTGCATTCCGTCTAGCCACAAACCTTAAGATCACTGCTGCGCTGTCGCTGGAAGGACAGGCAGGGAAGTGTCTTCCTCTGCAGCCACAGCTTCAGCTCCAGCCTCAGGGGTCAGGCAGGTCACCCTGAGTCAGGTCACTATACCTGACACCCTGCCCTGCTAGGGACAAAGCAGCCCATGCTGCTAACACAGGGCCGAGATGAACACGGTCAGGGCCTGTCCCTGCTGGAACCAGGACGTCTGAGAAGCATGCAGGCCAGGGTGGGAATGTTCCCTGCCTTGTCACCACAGGACACAACAGCCTGACATGACTTCAGCCCTTCAGGAATCCCCATTGGCTAGCAGAACTGAACTGTGTCTTCACTCCAGGACAAGTGCCTGCAGAAGCCCAGGGCTGCTGCCTGTGGAAAGAAGCCCTGGTGGATGCACGGGCACTGGGGAGCTGGGTCACACCAGAAACTCCAGGAACCCTCAAAGGGAGCCGACCCCAGGACAGCACAGCTCTGCCCTCCTGTGGTCCATGGTGAACATTGCTGGAAGCTGACCTCAGGACAACACAGCTCTGCCCTCC